GATCTGCGCAATTGTCGCCACTTTCGTGGGCTCCTGGGAGGCCCAGCGGAGGTGGGTCATACGCGGATCACCACGGGACCTCGCCGCCCCCTGGGGGGCTGCGATCAATTGTCGCCACTTTCATGGGCTCCTGGGAGGCTCAGCGGAGGTACGTCATACGCGGATCACCACGGGACCTCGCCGCCCCCTTTGGGGGGCTTGCGATCTGCGCAACCGTCGCCATCTTCGTGGGCTCCTGGGAGGCCCAGCGGAGGTACGTCATACGCGGATCACCGCGCGACTTCGCCGCCCCTGGGGGGCTGCGATCTGCGCAACCGTCGGGCTCCGGGGAGGCCCAGCGGAGGTAGGTCATACGCGGATCACCACGGGATTTCTTGCTGCGCTCTTCTGGAAGCATCGTTGGTGCTCTTTCTGCGCACTGTGGGTCCTTTAGAATGTCAGGCAGCATTGAGTGGTCCTGAGTATAATCGCCACATGTCTAGAAAGGATTGTGTACGTCACAGGGTAATTTTTGGGGCCGTCGCGCACGCTCCTTCCACCGATGCGGCGAGAATGCCACACATCCCTCCGAGACGAAGCGCGTGTTTCGGCCGACTTGGGGATTCATCATTTGCCAACACCCAATGCAGTTTTGGCTCCCATATGGTGCTGCACAAAAAGAATGGGACAGTTTGTTTGTTGTTGTTTTTGTTTTTTTTATGTTTGTTTGCTTGTTTGTTTTTTATTTATTGGGCTGCCTCGCACGCTCAGTCAAGCGATGTGGGAAGAATGTCACAGCCCCCCCCGAGACAATGCGTGTTTCAGTCGATTTGGGATTCATCATGTACCAGTTCCCAGTGAGATTTTGGCTCAGGCCATACGGTGCTGCACAAGGAAAAGAGAGAGATATAGAGAGAGAGGAAACGAGGTATGTGACATGTTCCGGGGACGTACCGAACTTTCTATGGAAGCACTTGTATGGAGGACCGCTCAAAACAAAAGTACTACTTGAAGGATCCGCAGGGCCTTAGGCCTTAGGACGGTTCGCCGAGTGATGCGCCGCACCAGTCTTGCGACTCAAATCGCAGGCAAGAAGGCGACCGCGAGCAGACAACAAGAACGGCAACGACGGAGGTCAGAAGCATACGGACAAGGAGGAGCTGGATAAGTCAACCGTGCGTATGTAACAGCGCCGCGCTCTTTGCTTCGCGTGCCCAGCAGAGCCATGCGAGATATGAAAGAGCAGCTCACTGCGCTTAGCTGTTCGCATGTTTTTGCGGTCATAGCGAGGCTGGGGAGGGTTTGTGACGCGGACGAAGGTCAGCGCTATGCGTTGCGTGAGGTTCAATGCCTTGCAAACTGCGACGGAACAGCGGCGCGCGCTAAGTGACAGGCCAGCGCCGCGTGCTACAGGAATCCTGTTTTTTGTATGTGTGGCTGGTCGCCACCAGTTACAGGCATCGCCACCCGCGCCGTTGAAGTTTCCATCGTCATTTAGAGAAGCGTTCCTGCAACAGCTGACAGGGGCCGTCTTCATTCAATGCAGGAACTTGGCGATGCCGACCTCGTGCGCCAACTTGTGGCATCTTTCCTGCAGCGCTCCGTGCGTGCACTTGTCGTCTGGAGGCGCGCGGCCGGGTCCGCCGGCGGCCCTCGGGACAGACAGTCCAGGCCTGGATCGCGGATCATGAGCAGGCTGTCCGACGTCGTCGCCCTGGAGAGCAAGACGTACAAGTGGAGCCAGCGACCAACGGTGGCGTTTGCATCCTTATAGCAGGCGTCGCCGGTGACGCCCTCGTGGATGGTAATAGCCCTGGCAAGCCATCGACGCGAGCACCTTGGTGTGGGAGATCTGCAGGTCTGAGCGCGTCACTCCGTGCTTGCGGAAGTCAAAATGGCTCGACGTCTGCTGCCCGATGAAGACCAACCGCTCCACGTTCGAGGTGTCGACCCCCCCGCGTGCTCTGCCAGTGGGTCGCGAAAGGTGAGGCCGTGCATTTGTTTATGCGGTCCCAAACGCGCAAGGGAAAGTAGCGCAGGTCCGTGGGGCGCTTCTCGGCCCTCGCGCGTTCCACCTCCTCCCCGTCGCGAGGGTTGATGGCCGCGTGCACGATCTTGCCCTCGTCGTCCTTAAGCATCTTCTGCTTGAGGCCCAGGTGCTCCAGCCGTCGAACTCGCATGCCCACATGTAACGGCCGCATCCCGCGCATGCCGCCTGGGCTGACCGGATTCAGTAGCTTCGCGGCCAGGCCCGCCGGCAGCGCGGGCGAGGACGCGTCGGCAGCTTGCGCGAGTTAGAATCTCGGCCCCAGGGCCTGGGCGTTCCTCTTTTCGCGCATCGTCATCCAGTGCGCCGCTGTGTCCCAGTAATTCGCGACCGTGTGCTTCGTCTGGAACCGCTCCTCGGCCAACCACCCATGAACACACGACAGTGGCGAAAGATGCGCAGGTCGCAGCCCACCAGAGAGCCGCGAGAGCCCACGACAGTGGCGACCCTTGCGCAGCTCGCAGGCCCCAGGGGGCCGCGAGGCTGAGTCTGAATGTGCGTAAGACACCACTCCGCTGGACCTCCCAAGAGCCCACGGAGATGGCAACAGTTACGCAGTTCGCACGCACCCCTCACGGAACCGCGATGTCTAGTCTTCGTGTGCGTAATCACCACTTTGTTGGACTTTCCAGGGGCCCGCGGAAGTGGTGACAGTTGCTGTCTGGGTGTGCGTAAGAGACCACTCCGCTGGACCTCCCCAGAGCCCACGGAAGTGGCGGCGCGCGCAGTTCGCAGCCCCCAGGGGGCCGCAAGGTCTAGTTTGGGCGCGCGTACGACACCGCTCTGGTGGACGTCCCACGAACCCACGACAATGGCCAATTGCGACAGCTGCGGAGTTCGCAGCCCTCCAGGGAGCCGCGTGGCCTGGCCTGGATGCGCGTAAGACGCCACTCTGGTTGACATCCCAAGTGCCAGCGGAAATGTCGACAGTTGCGCAGTTCGCAGCCCCCAAGGGAGCTGCGAGGTCCTCCTCTGCCGCCGCCTCCTCCTCCTCCTTCTCCTCTTCCTCCTCCTCCTCCTCCTCCTCGTCCTCTTCCTCCTCCTCCTCCTCCTCCTCCTCTCGTTCCTCCTCTCGTTCCTCCTCCTCCTCCTCCTCCTCCTCCTCCTCCTCCTGTTCCTCCTCTTGTTCCTCTTGTTCCTCCTCATCCTCCTCCTCCTCCTCCTCCTCCTCCTCCCCATTCCCCCTGTGCCTTCCACCCGTGGGCTCGCCGCTCAACTCGGACTCTGGCCGTGGCCAGCCTGGCCCCAGCCGCGCCCCGTCGCGAGCGGCGGCGTGCGCCCGGGCCGCGCGAGGCCCCCCCCGGGCCCTGGGCGCCGATAGGCTCCTCGAGGGCGGAGGGCCCCCGATCCGCCGCAGCAGCCCGGCCCTGGAGCCGCTCGGCCCGCTCGCGGGCGGCGGGGCCTCGCCGGGGACTGCGGCCCCGCCCCTGGGGGAGCGCCCGGCGCCCGCGCCTCCCATCGACCAAGAAAACAAAGGACACCACCCCGCCGACGGCCCGCCAGGATGCGCCACGGCCCATCCGCCGGGGCCGCAGCGCATACCGCGCAGGAGCCCAGGTCGGAGCTCATGGTACATGCTGACGCCCGTGGGGTCGTGGGTGGGGTGATGCCGTTGGGTTTCTGGCCCATCCCACCCTGAGGCGACGACCAGGGCGAGCAGCCCCAGCTGGGCGGATATTTTGCGCGCGTGCGCCCAGGGAGCCTCGCCGAAGGCAGGGGCCCTCGGCGCCCCTGGGTGCACGTGTTGCTCTCCCTCGGGCTCTTCGCCCCCGCCGTCGCCCCCGACCCACGCGCGGCGCCATTCGGGGCTCGCGCAGCGGGGGCCGGTGCCAGCGGGGGTCAGCTGGTCACCTCCGAGAGGTCCTCTAGCTGGCCTGTTTTCGGGGGCCGCCCGGAGCCGAGTCCGCTCCCCCGCCCTGCGGGCCCGGATTTGGGAGCTGCCTCGTGGCCGGCCTGGGTCCGCGACGGGGCCCGGCCTGACTTAGGTTTGCGCTGACCCAGGGTAGGTGCATCCCCGGCACGTGCTTCGCCTTGGCTTCGCGCAGACCCAGACTTCCAGCGCGTTGCATCGAGAACAACAGAGAAACCCCAGTACCACGATGAAGTCGACGTGGCCTCACTGAGGTCCCCGTCTCCGCAGTAGGGAGAATACATCTGGGCGGTTCGGCCTGGTACATATGCAGAAAAGACCCTCTATCCCTGATGTTCCTGGCCCTCCTAACTTAGGTCCCCTCCCAAAGGGTTAGGGGTCCTTTTATTGTGATCAGCGTTGACACAAACAAGATGGAGGTTTGTCGCCGTCCTCGGCCTCTGGGAGCCCTCGCCGGGCCCGGGGGTCGCCAAACTAACGATGCATTGGGCTGGAAAGCCAGCCCCAAGGAGAAGAGCCGGGACTTCGGGGCCCAGTGTTGAAGCGCTCGAGACATCGGACGCCTGGGGTAAGGGTGACTCTTGGCCAGGGTGACTGTGGTGTGGGCCCGCAGTGGTCCCCCCGGCCCAGGCGTGCGCGCTCGGATGTGGCCCCTGCTGCGGGCCCCGCCCCCCCCAGAGCCGCGCACCAGAGGCCACCCTCTGCTTCGGGCTCGGGGTGTGCGACAGGTCTCCTTGGCCCAAGGTGCCACGAGCTTTTCGCTCGATTCTGGGGTCCCGGGGGCTCCCGGGGCCCCGTGGGGGATGCCCTGAAGGCCGTGGGGGCCTCCTTGGACATCCTGGGTGCACCTTGGGCCAGGGACACTGCTGGCAACACTCGAAGGGTCACTCCTGCGTGCAGCCGAGCGTGCTTCCCTGAAATCCGACGTTGGGAAGCACTTGCAACCTCGCGCAACAGACCGACTGGAGCCCTGGGCCCCATCTCTTCCTGCTCCTGTCTTGGAGCGGCATCGATCTGTGAGGGCCCGGGGCGAAAGCCCCAGGTGCCCCAAAGACTGCAGCGCCTGGACCGCAGCGCTCCCCTCGGCGCACCGGGGTGTCTGGCATGGCGGCGCGCTGGTGCTGCCGCGAGCTGCTGCGACCCTGCGCCGCCGCTGGCGGCCGCCGGCCGCTGGCCGCGCTGGCGGCGCCGCGCGGCGCTGCGGCGGGGCCTGCCGGCCTTGCCGGCACCGCGGGCGCCGCGGGCAGCTGCCGGCCGGTGGCCTCGATGTCGATGCCCTGCCTGGCGCCGAAGAAGGCCGCCAAGGGCAAGGCGGCGCCAGGCGGGCGAGGAAGAAGCCTCGGCACAGAGGCGGAGGCCGAGTTGAGACGACGGCATAGCTTGAAGTCGGGCATGTCCCTCTACAGGAGGAGTGTTCAAAAATAGAGAAATAGTCTGGGGGTGCTTTTTTGATTGTTTGTTTGGTAGTTGTTGTGCGTTTTTGATTATTCTTGTATGGAGGACAAGCCCGACCTAAGCATAGTGGGCCTTTGCGGGTGGGCCCCTCGTTCGACTACACGTAAGACGGACCCTTCGCCGGAGTGACCTCTGGTGCGGGCACACTGGGGTCCCCAGATGGTTGAATACGATGCTACAGCAGCGGCTTGCGCGCTCGGGCTTGGCCCCCCCCCCCCCCCCGCGCCCCCCTAAGGTCGCGCACCAGTGGTCACTCCTGCCCAGGGTCACTCATGCGTGTAGCCGATTTGTCGCCACGGCTGGATGCTGCTCGGGGAACTGGTGCGTTCCCAGACCCCCGACGTCGTGATTTTTCACATCGTCGGCCCCCAGAGGTCTGGACCCCTCCCCGGGGACCGGTTCTTCATCCTGAGTTGTTTTCTGACGGTCCCGGGGCCCGGTAAGGGCCCCCGGAGGTCGAAAACAGCGAATGTATACCCGCCCGGCTCGATTTTTTTGTTTTTTTGTTTTTTGTTTCTCCTTCGATCGTTGAAAGCAGGTATTTTTGGATTCCCAGATTCCAATCTACTTTTAGCGCCTTCCTACTTCAATGATCGAGTGAGTTCACCGTTCCCGTCCTCTTTAGGGGGCGGGCGGAGCCCCAATCTACTTCCAACGCCTTCATTCTTCATGTTTCTACCTTCTTCTTCCGACCGATGGGTAAACCTGACATCCGCCGATATGTGTTTTTCTAGGCCGCCTGGATGGGTTCGGAGTAGATGGATCGGAGGATCGCGCCGCATCGCCGAGGCATCGACGATGCGGTTCGATACGGAGCCTGATTTTCTCCACGCCGACGTCGCCGATGCGTCGCCGACGTCGGCGATGCATCGACGATGCATCGCCGATGCAGTGGCGATGCGGCGCGATCCTCCGAACCCACCTGCTCGGACCCCATTCAGGATGCCTCTATAGTTAGTTTCCAGTCTCTCGGCCCCAGACGTCCCGAGCGCTCTCTGGGGGGGAGTTCGGCGCCCGGGCTCCGTGTCTGACGGATGGTCCCAGGCCCGCCGACCGGCCCCAGGGGCCGAGATCGAAGGAGGACGCCAGGCTTGAACAAAATCATATGCAGCACCATGCAGGTGCGGGTAAGGGTGAGGGGGCGGGCGCGGGGTGGGTCGCGCGGGGGCCTCGGGTGGGTCGGGGGGGGTCGCGCGGGGGGGTCGCGGGGTGGGTCGCGGGTTGGTCGCGGAAGGGGGAGGTGTCGCTGGCGAGGACGACGACAACAACAGCAGATTTCAACAATCAGTTTAAGACTGTTTGCTCGTATCTGCTCGCGTGCCACTCAACATGTATATCCCTAACTCTCGATGCCCGCACTCTTCGTCTTCGATCGTGCCCCCCTTGGGGGTATATCTTCCTTGCCTTCCACGTGTGGTTGGCGCAGCCCCTAAAACAGAGATATGGAGGGAGGAGGAGGAAAGGGACAAGGGTGAGGGAAAAGGATGGAACACGAGAGAGATTAGCAGGAGGGAAACAGGAAGAAAAAGTGGCACAACCAGACGGGCGGGTCGCGTGGGCGGCCCTGAACGGGAGGGTCGGGCGGGTGAGCCCAGATGGCCAGGTCGAGCGGGCGGGTCGCTGAAGCATCAGTCTTGCATGGATCGCGAGGAAGTCTCGAGCGATAGCGCGATTCCCAAATGAATTTTTAGGACATCCAGAGCGATGGCGTGATTTCTGAGTGTTGAGGGCGCGGCTTTGCATTCAATTGGGAGGAAGTCCCGCCCGAGAGCACGGTTCCTGGAAAAAACTGTGAGGAAGTCCCGCGCGAGAGCGCTATTTGGAATAATTTGGTAGGAAGTATCAGGCGGGAGCCGTTGTTGTGTTGTTTGGGGGCCAGGGGCGCAGTCTGAGACTTATCATTTTTTGTAAGAAAATACAGGGTGCGAGCCCCAGGAGGAGCACTTCAACTGACAAACACAAAGTCCGAGCAGTGGCGCAGCGTCCTGGCTTGCTTAGGCCCACCAGACAATTTTTCGAACAGGTTTTTGTGGTCTGCACGACATGTTCTTAGAACATCTCTGGCTGAGACCATTATGTTTTCACACATTGAGTTAATGTACTAAGAATGTGGCTTTTGTTCTTAGAACATGTGTGGGTTCTCAGGACATGTCGTGGTAGGCCTATCGGACTGTCCAGACGGTCGGTTCCTGCTCGACGGGTGAACGGGAATCGGGGGATCATCAATAATTTTTCTTCCGAGATGAAAGTCCAACATGCAGCAAACAGCAAGCAGCAAACAGGCAGAACCCGCGCCGCGGGATCTCACTCCAGCCACGCACCCCCCAGGGGCGGCGTAAGACCGTTCGCCCCCCTCATTCTAGGCCTCCCAGATGGGGTGTGAGTAGGTGGGGTCGCACTGCCGATGCATGGCCTGTGCGGCTCGATGCGGAGCCCGACTTTCGCCGCGCAGACGTCGCCAGTGCATCGCCGCCGATGTCGCCGATGCCTCGCCTGCGCATCGCCAGTGCATCGGTGACGCATCGTCGATTCGGCGCGATCCTCCGACCCCATCTACTCCGACCCCATCTGGGAGGCCTCTACTCCTTGGCATTTCTCGGGGCGCGTGCATTTTTTCCGGCGAGGACCATCGGGGAGCACCTTGGGTCATCTTGGGAACAAAAACAGCACGCGCGAAGCCAAAAGATGCACGGGGATTGGACGTCAGCGATGGCAAGCCTCATTCTGCTTCTCTCGGAGATCTGGAGGTGCGCGCGGAGCTCCGACGAGTTCATGCCAGTGCCGCCCCGGGCTCCTCTTCCCCCCCTCTGCAGGCGGCGCCACGGCTGGCCCTGCGGCCAGCGGGCCCGAGGGCTTCACGCAGCTGTTCAACATCTACGCGGGCAGGCCCGACGAGGAGATCAAGCCCGACGACTGGTATCCGAAGTGGCTCTGGGAGCTGGAGTCGGGGCGAAGAAACTCCAGCCTCGGGGGGCGCCTTCCAGCGGCTGCGCCTCGCCGAGGGCGCTGCGGGGGGTGCCCGGATCTTCCCCAACGGCCGCTGCAGGCCTGAGGTATGTCAGGAGGGGGAACGAAAACACGCAGACACAATGAATTGTCGATTCCCAAGAAAATATGGGAAAATATGGGGAGTGGTGGGGAAAACGAGAACCCCCAAAATATGGAGCAAATGCAAGGGATCTTGGGATTTGTGCGTGTGTGTTTATTTGTGTGTCACTGGGCCCCTTTCATTATGGCCCGAAAGCCAGCAGGAGTCAGGATCGGGAGGGTCGTGGGCGCAACATATCTTCGTGTCCGCGGCCTCGCGTGCTGGACCCCTGGGCCACGACCCCGCGGACACAGAGCGTCTTTTCGCGGATGCCCCGCGCGAGCCACGGGATCGCGCGCGGGAATCCAGACCGCCAGGGCGCGGACACGGATCTGTTCGCCGGTCGTGAGAAAGACAAAGCCTCCTTGTTTTCGCCTCGCTCAGCTGTAGTCAGCCTTCGGAGGGCCCCTCGTCGCCATTGCTGGACGGAGCTCGGGAAACTGATGCGTGGGGACCCCGGGAGGGGCCTGGGGATCCTTTTTGAGCTGCAATTGTCTTCACTCGCCCTGCTCCGATTCTCTTCGCCTCACCCACCTCCTCGCCTTCCCCTGCCAGTTGCACTCCGATCAGTCGATTCCCCAGGCCCCTTCTCCTTCACCCCGCTATGAACAAGTACCGCTTGCTGACTGCTCGGTGAGGCGCGAGAGCATCGATGCAGCTGGATGGCAGCTGGCTTGCACCTCGGTGATCGAAGTTGGAAGATGGATTAGCTCCTTTCTGAACAGGGGCATAATGAACAGCATACGCACGATTGAAACACTGAACTCATGAAGCGAATCTCCGAAGGCGACTTCGAGCCGTGGGAAGGAGCACCCCATCGAAGCAGCCTGCGGAGCAAACCGTCTGTGTGGCTGGTTGGCGGATGGGCAGGAGTGGCAGCAGCAGGAGATCTCAGCGTCGGTCGTCAGGAGTCGAGGTGTTCATGATGACGGGGAGGACGACGACAACGGCAGCGGCGACGACTCCGCTGGCGACGACGACAATGACGACGATGGCGACGACCGTGGCGACGACCACGACGGGACGCGCGGGCGGACCAGCGAGGGGGGGCAGCAGGAAGCAGGAGGAGAATGAGGAGGGGCAGGAGAAGCAGAACAAGGTGGAGGACCAGAGGGAAGAGGAGAAGGAGCAGGAGGAGGAGGAGGAGGAGGATGAGGAGGGAGCGGGGTTTTTGGAGGCAAAGGGAAACGGGAGGAGGATGAGGAAGACCAGCGAAATGGGAGGAGGAGGCGGAGGAGGAGAAGGCGGCGGCAGCGGCGGAGGAGGAGGAGGAGGAGGAGGAGGAGGAGATGGTGGAGAACAAAGGCGATTAGGAGAAAGGGGGTGGGGGAGAAGAGGGGGGAAGGAGGTGGAAGAGCAGGAGTATTAGGATCGGTGGGAGCAGGCATCGGTTTACCGTCCTGGAGGACAAGCCGCCCAAGATGTATGGGGAACTGGCGATGATGTTCGTCCACGGCGTCAACATTGAGGATGCCAGGTGGAGGGACTACCAGCGGTTCCTGCGGCAGCATCGGAAGCTCGTAATCAAGATCAACAACCTGCGCCTGAAGAAGAGCAAGCGGCGGCCTGGGCTCAAGGTGCTGTGACCCGCCAGCCCGCTGGACATCGGCCTCTCCGGTCGGGATGCGATCTGGGGCGCTGCTGCTTCCCCGACTCTCCTGCTCCTGCCTTCTCCTCCCGGAGCCGAGGGGGGAAGCGCGATGCCTATGACCAAGATGTCGCGGGATCTGGTCGATTCGCGATGCTGACATCCACGAACTGACGCTGACCAAGATGGACGCTGACCAGGATCGACACGACGCTTCCGCCTTCGGCCTTTGTCTTGGTGTGTGTGTGTGTGTTCCTCCCCTCCATGGGAGCTGCTGGGGTCACGCCAGAGCCGAAAACGAGGAGAAGGAGCCCCTCTTGAGACGGCGCGCCTGCGTGGAGAGATAGAGGAGTGGGATTAGGAGGAGGAGACGTGAAGGAGGAAGGTGGAGGAACGAGGAATAAGGCGGAGGAGGAAAATGAGGAGAAGGGAATGATCAGGAGAAGGATGATGAGGGAGGATGGTGATGATGATGAGGAGGAGGAGGAACAGCGTAGACCCAAAGACGCGTCAACGATGTTGCAAGACACCCTCCCTCCAAGTTCTCTCTCCATAGGTCCCTACAGAACTCATTTACATTGCGGGAAGTGCCCCGTTTGAAAGCAGTCGTTTGAGAAATCAATCGCACCGAAGTACCATTCCTGGGACCTGAACGCCGCGAATCAACGTGATTGTCGCGACCTGACAATCCTCAATCGTGCCAGAACATCATTCCTGGGACGTTAATTCCGCGACTCAGCGTGAGCATTGACAATCCTGAACCGTGCCAACCAGTTCTTGGGAGTTCCTGTCAAGACGAATGTGCGCGGCGCTAAGGCGAGAGCCACATTTTGAACAGGAGCCAGTCTCCATCTTTGGAACAGCGAGTGTGCGCGGCGCTGAGGCGAGAGCCACATTTCGAAAGACCTGTCCTCCATCCTTGAAGTTGTTGGAAACTGTTAAGGATAATGTATACGACGCTACGACGAATGATCAGCAGGGGGAGAGAGGGAGGGAGGGAGGGAGGGGGGAGGGAGGCGGGGGAGGGAGAATGGAGGAGGGACGGGGAGGAGGAGGAGGAGGAGGAGGAGGAGGAGGAGGAGGAGGAGGAGGAGGAGGAGCAGGAGGAGTAAGAGGAGGATGATTGTGAGGACCAGTACAAGCCCAAGACGCACTAACGCTGTTGCTATAAACCTTCCCTCCAACGTCGTCTTCAAGCAATCAATCGACAGATACGGCGCCGTGGGAGGGCGACAGGGGGAGCAAGCGTGTGATACTGCTGGCAGGCGGGCGGCAAAATTGGCTGCGCCAATGGAAGTCCTGCAGATCTTGGTGGCCAGCCGTACTTCTTTAGAGCAGGAGCGAGGCATTGGTTGAGCACGTTCGCCGAAGGCGTCGGAGATACACTAGCGACAGGAGTTGAACTATTCACGTATCCTAGCAGCGCGAGCCCTGTTTGAGGCATAGTGTAGTGCGTCAGCGGTGACATTTCGCCTGAATCATTGAATGAATGAACAAGTTCCCTCTTCATTGGTTCCTACAAGAGTGTGTTATATTACGGGAAGTGGCCCATTAGAAGACAAGCGTCTGAGAACCCTCAATCGTTGCAAAACTCCATTCCTGGGACTTCAACGCCACATATCAACGTGACTGTTGCGTCCTGCCAATCCAAATCGCGCCGAAGAATCATTCCCGGGATTTTGTCGCCGCGAATCAGTGAAACAACGTGACTGTGTCGTCTTGGCAATCCTTGCAGAATGCAGCTCCAGGGACTTCAGCCGAGCGATTCCCTGAGAGTGTTGCGAACTGTTAAGACGAATGTGAGCGGCGCTAGGGCGAGAGCCACACTTTGAATAGCACCGGCCCTCCATCCGTGAAGCTGTTGCGAAGTTCCAGCTTCATGGTCATGAACGGTTGAGGAGGGGAAGGAAAAGGAGGAGGAGAAGGAGGTGGAGGAGGAGGAGGAGGAGATGGAGATGGAGGAGATGGAGGCAGGGAGGGATGAGGGAGAGTGGAGGAGGGGCGAACTAGGTGCGCTCGCGCCAGATTCGTCATCCTACCCTCCCTGCCACCCCTTCCCACTGCGCGGCCGCGTGTCAATGCGCACTTGTAACTCGAAGAAAGACTCCATCGCGTTGCGCGGGGTAGTCGGAAAAGGGGAACTGCGTACATAGGAGGGAGGAGGAGGAGAAGGAGGAGGAGGAGGAGGTGCCAGATGAGCATGGCATGAGGATGAGCAGGAGGAGAAGGAGGATCACCAGGAAGGAGGAGAAGGATGACGAACAGCAGTAGCAGGAATTGGAGTGGAAGGAGCGGGAGGATCAGGATGACCAGGGGAAGGCGGAGGAGGGGAAGGGAGCGGGGCAACAACGATGAGGAAGGACTCGGATCCAGAAAAGTGGCCCGCGCTGGGGCGAGAGCGCCATTCTGAACCACGGGAGCAGAGCCGCGATCCTAGAATGAGGCCCACGCTGCAGCGGGAGGGAAGGGCCGATACCGTTTGGACGGGAAAAAACACGCCAGGAAAATCATTTCGCCCACATCGTGTGTGTGTGTGTGTGTGTGTGCGTGCGTGCGTGCGTGCGTGCGTGCGTGCGTGTGTGTGTGTGTGTGTTTGTGTATGTGTGCGTGTGTGTGTGTGTGTGTGTGTGTTTGTTTGAGTTTGTTTGTTTGTTTGTTTGTGTGTGTGTGTGTGCACGTGTGTGCGTGTTGTGTGTGTGTGTGTATGTGTGTGTGTGCGTTCGTGTGTGTGTGTATTTGTGTGCGTGCGTGTGCGTATTTGTGTATGTAAAACGACACGAAGGGGTGGGGCGGATACTCTCAGCACATATTCGGGGGGGAGAGAGAGGAGAGAGCATTTCAAATTGCGTAACAAAAGGGAGGGGGTCACAATCCTCCCAGACGGGCCATCTTGGACCCCCCCCAGACTGGCTATGAAAGGGCGGCCTTTTGCCCAGACCCCTCTGGAACCCTCCGAGACAGCTCCAACCAGACCCACGCCCGAATCAGACCACCCGCTTTGCATTATGGAATCTGGAGCAGTATTTGTTCGGTGCACGCAACGAGGAGGAGGGAGAGGGAAGAGGCGCAGCAGCAGCAGAAGAAGCAGGATGAGCACGACCGAGCTCGCGGCGGCCTCCCGCCCCGCCCGCCCTCCTCCCCCGCCCGCTGTGCACGCCGTTTCTTTCGGGCGAAGCGCCCTGCCCGCCCTATCGTACATTCGTGCGACGTCGGCGCGCGCAAAGGTTTTTGACACCACCTCGATCGTTCAGCCTTGAACCGACCTCGGCACCGATCGTTCAAGGTTTACGTCCGTCAGGTCCAGTGGCGTTGCCGTGCCCCTCGGTGCTTCGCTGGCGTCGCATGAAATGTCAACCTTGAATGCTTTCGCTGGCGTCGCCGGCGCGCCAGCGCCGCATGAACCGTGCACCCCTTTCTTTGTGCATACCCTTCCACAAGGGGCAAGAGCCTTCCGATCTGAATCCTTCTCCAAACTCGTGGGCAGTGGTGAGTGCGAAGGGATGCTCTGCTCGAGCCAAGCGCACATCGCGTCCTACACTTTCGGCGGAGCCGTGGCCGCGCCGTTCCAGAAGCTCCCGAGCGACCGAGGTATGCACCAATCGTCCCATACGACGCTCTGGGGGGGAAGGATTTCGAGGATTTGAGTTTCGTTGACCTATAACTTGCGCAACCCGCAGGCATTCGCAGGATCTTGCGACAGCCTGGGGGCCCTGGGCAGTTCAAGTTCAGCATACTGGAAAATTGCTTTAGGAGAACCAGCGATGCGTAGGCAGCATCAGCTCATGTTATCGGGAACGTGACTGCGATGGCAAGTCATTCTCCAGCGTCCACGCAAGCGCTTTGCTTAGCGGACGCCCCAGCAGGGTCGAGATGGTGTTCGTGTTGCTGTATGAGATGCTTTTCAGCAACAAGGAACATGCCACTTGCTGTGTCGCCGGGGGGGGGGGGCTAGCGATGCGTCATTGTTGTCATGCTACTCGCTGCAGTCAGTGTGCGCATCATGTTGCAGTAGTTGTCGGACTAGCTCGGAGGAGAAGGATGACGAGGAGTACTATTAATACTAGTAATACAAATAATGCTAATAATGATGCTGCTAATCATAATAAGCAGAAGAGGGAGAGTGGCGGAGGAGGAGGAGGTGGAGGAGAAGTATGAGGCAGGATGCTTCTACAGGGGCCGAACCACCCCAGGCCACACTGGCGGCCATGGTGAGGTAATCTCCCAGACTATTTCTGATGGCGCAGGAGTGGCAGAATCCATCGGTAGGTACAGTTCGAAGCCTCGGGGTGTGGGGCTGTTTATATTGAGCCCGCAGAGCGAGAGTCACCGTGGGCCTCTAGGGGGAAATTCGCACGCCAATCTCGCGAACAGTGGGTGCTCGGGGCACGCTCTCGACGAGGGTCGGCACCCATCGTTGTGCTGATTGTTGGGGCCGTAGTTGCGCTCCTCGGGGCATTGGGCGTCTTGGGGGCCAGATATAGGCCTTTTGGGCCAGCAGGAGTAGTCGTCGTCGTCGTCGTCGTCGTCGTCGTCGTCGTCGTCGTCTTCGTCGTCGTCGTCGTCGTCGTCGTAGTAGTAGTAGTAGTAGTAGTAGTAGTAGTAGTAGTAGTGGTAGTAGTAGTAGTAGTAGTAGTAGTAGTAGTAGTAGTAGTAGTAGTAGTAGTAGTAGTAGTAATAGTAGTAGTAGTAGTAGTAGTAGTAGTAGTAGTAGTAGTAGTAGAAGTAGCAGTAGTAGTAGAAGAAGCACTAGTAGTAGTCGTAGTCGTAGTCGTAGTCGTAGTCGCAGTAGTAGTAGTAGTAGTAGTAGTAGTAGTAGTAGTAGTAGTAGTAGTAGTAGTACTAGTAGTAGTAGTAG